CAGGCTGAGCCCACCAACGTACTACCGGGTTTGAGTCTGAATCATGTGTGTGGCGCTTTTGTACAGCGTGGCAAACCGCTGTTCCAGCAATGACTGTCGCAGAAAGAGAGTCCTCTCCTACCTCGTTAGCCGATCCGTGCCGCCGCCCAGCGGCCCCCCCTATCAACCTCCCGCTCCCGCCGCCAAAATATTTCTCTACCTGCCGAATTCGGCTCTCGGTTAGCTCAAGATCGGGAATATTGACAGCCGCTTCGCCGTGATCGAAAGTAGAACCTGTGTCGTCAGCAAATGTTTTTGTTACATCGTAATCTCCTCGGTCCTCCTGCCTGGTAATGTCCATCTCATCGCCAGTACCACCCGGCAACTTCGAGCGAACGCTGCCGCTGAAGACGACGTTGTTGGCCCTGTTGCCGAGTGGGGTAATTCCCGGTGCGCCACCTGGTGGCCGAGGGCTCCGTGATGGCCCTTCCTGTGCGTTGCTTTCTGTAGGGGGGTCTGCTGCATTTGCTACCGGAGAGCATCCGCTACCAGTATCCTCTTTTGCCATGTAGACTGTTTTCATCCTTTCTAGAGTCTCCAATTTGGATGCTGCCGCAGCACCAGCGCTACTACGTCTCTCCGTCGCCGGAGGACAGCGTCGGAATTGGAGACTCGTTGGCGTCGCTGCCGCTCTTCTCTTCCACCTCCAGAACTGCTCAAAATCGGCCTTAAGGCCCGAAGGATCTCGCCTCCTTGCCATACGTAAAATCGCCGCCGTGGCTCCACCATCGTAGCCTCCTGCCGATGCTACCATTTCCTCCTCGGAGTTTCCATCAACGGCCGGGCCGAAGCCGGTGGGTGGCCTGCTACAAGACGAATCACTTCCACCATTGCCATCTCGGCATGGCTTACTGTGTTCATTCCCTGCTGTTGGAGTGCCCTGGCGCGACAGTCCAGTACTGTTGCCCCGATGGTTTCTGTTGGAGCAGCCTTGGCGACTATTCTGAGGATGCCACTGCTGTCGTCGTCTCGTGTCAACTATCAGTGGCAGCTGGGGCATCCTGCTTTTTTCTCCCGGTCTATCTCGTTGGTGCTGCTTCCCGAGATCAGTCTCGGCAAAAACGCCCATTGATCTAGCTCTCCGTTCCTCCAGCGCAGCGGCAGTGTCCAAGGGTGCGCTGGCCGTAGAAAACCCGGATAACATCGAGCGAGTTCCGTCGGAAGTCGACATCCGACCTGACTCCGGACCAACGTCGCTGTGTGTATGAAGACCGCTGGAGGAACCAGTGCGCCGCCCGCCGCACCGCTTGTTCAGCGCCCAGTTTCGGTGATCGGCCCCCTTTCTCTTCTGCCGGTGACACCGCTGCTGTCTCGAGTTTCTGGTCGACAGCGGCATACCTCCTGTCTGTCTCCTTCTGTTGACCGTTGCCGCCGCTGTTGCGTGGAGTGTAGGCAGTCGCTGCATCAACGGCTCGAGTGCCTGGGAAATGTTCTCGGCGTCGTCGGCAGCCAAGTTCGACGATAGGGCCGACTCAAGGGTCCTACGAAAGCTCTCACGGTCCGGAAGCCCTGCTACTTCCATGCCGCCCTTGTCAGGGAGAGATGGGTGGTATATTCCTGAGGCTTTGCGATTTCCAGCAGCACTGCCTGTGCCGCTGTCAGCATGTTGTGCCGAGATCTCACGACGGTGTTGCACATGTTCCTGAGCAAGCCGATACTCCGTCCATGCACCGATGTACATACCGAGGTGAGTCAGAGGCCAGACCTGGCCTCCTCAATGCGCTTCTCGTAGTTCTGTGGTATTCACTTTGTGAGAACCCCCCAACGCCACGGTTGCAGTGCACCCCTGACGAAGTGAACGACATGCCGTCATGTGCGGCAGAACTTGTTGCGGTTCGGGTGGTTGGGTTACAGACCGTTTCGCGCGGCGAGATTCGAGAGATTTTGAGCTTCGGGATTCGGAGATTGTGAGCTCTCGCGCTCGGCGCTCTGATGGTCTGCAAGTAAGTACGGCTCGCCCCCGTTTTCTGGTGCTAGTTGTGCATGATGCTTGGGACGTCCCAGTGTAATCCAAATGGAGGTACCGTAGTAGCCAAAATGGGTCCCCACGTGCCGACCTATGTTGGAGTTGGTTGGAGGTACAATCATCAGCCCATGATTTCAATACTGCTCCTACGACTAAAAGGGTGCCACACACAAAACGCCCGACCAGTACCTAACACATATCATCTGCACCTTCCCAACATAACATATATGAGACACACAAGACAGCTACCAAACTGTCTTGTTGAGCCTGTTACCCGCAGGGGAGATGTCCCTATATGCTGTCTGGGAAATCGTAGACATACAGGTACTTTCTGACGCTATGAATCCATTGCTAATCTGTCTCAGACTATATGCTGTCTGGGAAATCGTAGACATACAGGTACTTTCTGACGCTATGAATCCATTGCTAATCTGTCTCAGACTCTTTTCTATGATAGAGATGGTTTCGTTGTGTCATATTAAGAAAAAAATATATATATATTGCTGTACGCTGCACCAATGATCCACCCTTTGGCTTACATGGTGGTCTGTCCAAGAGAGGGAGCGAGAGAGATATATATAGAGAGAGATAGACAGAGATAGACAGAGACAGGCAGAGACAGACGAGACAGAGAGCTCATTCTCTTGTGTCCCTGCCGCGAAACCCGGCAGAACTACAATATACCGTAAAACAAAACTGACGCTGGCTCTATAGTCTACATACGTATTTTTATGGTACTTATTATTACATAACAATCCAATACTCCAAAAAAAGCAACCTTCCCACAACCTTCCCGCAACCTCCCCGCCGTTTCTAACTTCACCTCAGTACTGTTCTCAGTGGGGGACTACATGAAGAGGCGTCGTGTGTGCTGGCACGTTCAGGTTTGCTTCTTGGGTGGTGATATCGAGGATCGTAGTGAGTAATGGCCTACAATCTCCATATCTCCGCCAATTAGTCCGACACCCAGTTTCTTGTACTGCTTGTGCTCACCGCCACGGACCGTAAACCCCTGAACGGCGGATCGTCAGTAGTAGCTAGTGACATAAGCTACTGCTGATAACCCGCAGTTCAGGAGATTTGGGTGAGTGGCGGCGAGCACAAGCAGTACAAGACACCTGGTGTCGATCGAATTATGCAGAGATTTGCAGTGATTGTTGGTCATTACTGTACATACAATCCTCGTTATCACCACCACAGAAGCAGACTTGAGCGTGCCAAAACACCCTCCCCGCTGCTATAGGGTGTCCTCAAGTGATATCAGTACTAAGGTGCGGTTAAAATGCCAATCTGACCTTTTTGGCTCTTGACTTGAATTTAGGATGGTATGAATTTTTTTCTTGACTTCAAAGGGGGCGTGTAGAGGTGTAGACTCAGATATGTGTATTTTGAGCAGCCTCTACTGCCGCCCAGTGCGAGAATCGACGATTTCTGTTGATCCCGATGCCTTCCGACTGGTCTTGTGCGTCTCGTGTGCATTTTCTGGCGCTCTTGCCGTTTCTTTCGAAATCAGTCGACACTTGATCGACATCAAGAGAGAGGTTCGGTTCTCTCCCTTAACGCCGCTCGGGACGTCGGTTGGGGTCTATCACGGCCTATTCCTATTCCCTACGTGCCGAACGATGGTATATGTAGTCGAGGTTCACCGAGTCTTTCGGTGGTTCGTTTGACCGCTTGCTTTCAGGCACACCTGCCAGCGGCCGGCCTGGCGGCGTACATCACGACGCACTCCGTCCGAATATTGTGGTCCATTTTTGGCGGCCATAGAGGAAATCATGGGAATGGGGTGTTGGCGGACGAAGTCGACCGCAAAGTGCTTCGTAGCGCCGTCTTCCAAAAGACGGCGAGCCGACACCTCTACGGTCACTAATGACGCGCCTCTGTCACCTGCCATTGAGGCCGACTTTGCGTCGTGTTCAACGTGTTATCGCCCGAAGCAATGTAACTATTAGTCGAATGAATCAACCAGGTTCTGCAATATGTACAGACTACTTACACTCCCACGACAACACGGCGAGTGTGGGTGGGACCACAGACCGGCGCTGGAGGCCTAATCCAAATCCGGTTGAGAGAAATACACAGCTGGAAGCCGCTTGATCATTTTCAAGCTGTTGCCGCGACGGCTACAAAATCGATGCGGCAGTGCAGTGTAGGACCTCCTTTTGTACCTTAGCGCTGGAGATCTCATCCAAGCCCAACGCTGAGATAAAGTGATCAACGGCTAAGAACAAGAACACTGTAGGAAAACGCCCTCGGACACAGACGCGTCAACCTTTGGAGATCAGGTCAGCGCCACAAGTTGCTTGAACATGGGAACACAACACAGGCGGTCGGAACCAACACACACCTCAGGTATCTACGCTGTACCCGAGTATATCGGGCTGGCGCGGAGTGCTATTCTGCATTTCTACTACCCGCGTCTCCTTTGGAGCTTTCTCTTCCAGCACTATTCGGAGATGTCAGCGCTACCACCGGCGGGCTTCTCCCGGTGCTGGCGTTGTCGTCGGCACCGTCCCAGTCATCGCCGTCGGGTTTGCCGGCAGCAGCATCACTTGCCCTGACGCACATCCGCCACGAGGCGAGAGGGCGCGCCGCGATGGTCTGGTGCGGGGAAGCGACATACTCCTGACCCGTGTTGTGAAAGGTGGAAACGGAATGAAAGAACCGACGGGGACGAAGATGGCAATGGTGCGGCATGCGACCGCATATCGGTTTAGCCAAAGGGCGGAGCTTCTCCGGAGCCAACCATTTATTTCGTGAAGGGAGGCTTGGTATGCTAGCGCAGCCAAAGGAGGGCTAACTAGGCGGTGGGAGAACCACATAGATAGCTGCCAATTGCTGTGTCAGCGCGATTACACTTCAGAACTTGACACGTTGGTGGAACTACATGTAGAAAAATATATAAAGAGATGGACTCTTCGTCGAAGAACGAAGATCGAACAAATGCCACGAGTTTCCGAGAGAGTATCGCCTCGACCAGAATGATCACCGACGGTCAAGTCCTAGACGCCGATCGATCCAGAAAAATGGTGGGTGGAGAAAAAGAGAGCTACAAAACGAGGGGAAAAGAGGGAGCGTGAGAGAAGAAGGGAGAGAGAGGGAGAGGGAGAGGGAGAGGGAAGAGTACGAGCCCCAAACATGACGTTTCCGGTCTTGATTAGATACGTAGCCTGTGATTCGGAGTACATGCGAGGGTACGCGAACCTCACGGATGCCCAAACGCCTACCTGGTCGAGGCTTCCCAGAAGGTCCCCACCGGAGGTCCAGAACCTCACGAGCTTATCAGGCGTTATCGTGACCACGATCACCGTGCCAGACTTCGTCATCGGCCGTCGTCTGTTTCCACGATAACGACCGTGGTTGTCGGCACCCGGACGGGGGCGATCGCGACCCACAATCGCCACGCCCCGAAAGGAAACGCCCTGACCTTCGAAGACCTTGACCTTGATCACCTCTTGACGGCCCTCCTTACCGGGCCTCCATTCGTCCAGCCGTCGGACGAACCGGAGGCCTACGCCACGCCCGAATCTGGCGCGTTTTAGCGAGGTGCGCGCACGAGCTCGTGCATGACCGGAGGTATAAATTTCGTACTTCATACGGAGTATGTTATTCCGCTTGCGCTTCTCTTGGCGAGTAATCACATGAACTAAAGCGCACACCGGCTGAAGGCGATTCGTTCTTGAAGATACACCGAGTGCACGTTGTCAAAATCGTCCTACGGGCCTTCTGGAACAGGGCAATTGTGCTTGAGAACGCGAGCAAAAGCATTTTGATGTGTGTGAACCGAGCACACATAAAAAACTGCAGGGTTTGAGAGTTTGATGCTGGATTGCACATGGGCCCGATTTTGGGTCGCCCTCGGAGCGGACTATAAACCGCAGATCGCCGTTGCATCGTGGTTCGAAATGCAGTAGACGACAAGACAAACCGCACACCTTTGATGCAAAGTGTTCTCCCTTGTAAGCGTTTCTTTCGTCTAAGGCAGATCACGGGGAGAGACTCCCGCTGCTTCATTGACCGAGAACAAGGAATACCGGCGGGGTTGGGCAGCGGAGTGAGAGGCTCCCGTGGAAGCGAACTTCCGCCACAAAGAACGGCGAAAACAACCTCGGAACGCGTATCGTCTTGGGCCACACCCACCTGTCCCCGTAGTCTTGACCGCTGATGCTCTCGCTGGACTCCGACGACCAAAGCGAGTGTTCCCCGTGCGCGGAAGAGCTTGTGCCTGCGGCTTTGCTCCCTCCGTTCATCCCGATCCCGTCATCCTCATCGCTGCTGGTGGCGTCGCCGTCCGCCAGCCCCAGCGAAGAGAAGTCATCGCGCAGGTTGGCGTCTAACGGTGCCATGGATGGGGGAGGGATGCATGCTGTCAACTGGGCGGAACCTCGGTGCGACGGGGTTTCCGGTCCTTCATTTTCTTCTTCCTCGTGTTTCATGGCGACCATGGCATTGATATCGACGTCGTTGTTGTTGTTGACGTTGTCAGGGTTGTCTGTGGTGGTGGTGGTTGTACTTGTGGTGATGGTGTCGTTGTAGTTGTTGTTGGCAGTATTATTCTGTTGGTTGTCGTCGTTCTCTTTCCTCTCCTTCTCCTTCTCCTTGTCCTCGCCGCTGATCGTGCTGCTGTCGATGGTAATACTGCTGCTGTCGTTGTGCACCATTTTGCTTATTCCGTCCTTGCTGGTTTTGGCCACCTGCCGCGACTCGTCCTCTGTTCCTGACGACGTCAACGCCCCTTTGATGTCCCACACCTGTATCGAACACGTGGTCCGGACATGTAGTAATAATTCGTCGTCTTGTGATCCTTTTCTCGCAAACTATTGCGCCGTGCTTTCCCACAAGCGGTGGTGCTCCCGTGCAGCATGTTTAACCTAGGGGAAAAGTCCAGATAGCAAAGAACCCGATGGAGTTCACATTGTGGAAAGAACACAAATGGCAACACCCTAAAGCTATTGCGGGGCTGAGATTCTTGCTTCCCACCTTAACAAACCCGACGGTGTCTCCCGTGAAGAGTCGCTCCTCGAGGCTGCTCCACGCCAGGCTGTTCACCGCCGCCGGGACCGGCGCCTCCTGCCCTTGCGAACACCCCCCGACTCCCAGGCCCTCCCCCGGAAAAGCGGGCGCAGCGTTTGACGGAGAGGTGTTGTTGTTGAAGAACAGCGCGACGCATCGCCATTCCGAAGAAGGCGCCATTCGCTCGCCCGTCGCCCTTCTCCTTCCCTTGCTGCCCGCGCGTATTGTAGCAACGACAGGGTCGCCGCCGCCCGCGGCTGCTCTTGCCGCGGCAGTTGTGGTCGCATTGATCCTCCTGTCGTCGTCATCACCGAATCCCTGTTCTCCGCTCTCCTCGCCTAAGCCGCGATAGTCTTTGAGAGGGTCGGGAGCAGGGCCCATCCGCCAGACAGCGATTGTTCCCTCCAGGTTGCACGTGACCAGCGCAGCATGCGGCTCTAAGAAGCAGATGCTGTTTACCTGTCCCCTCGCGCGGCGTTGTGCATGGATAAGGCGGCGTTCAGAGCAAGTTGGCTACGCCGGAAGAGGTGTCAGGCCTGCACGTGCGACATGGTTCCGGGCATAGTGCTCTTGGGTGCAGAAGCCTCTGCGGTGGCTAGGCAAAAAATCAGCGAAAGAAGCTAAAATCACAAGTGTGTTGTTGATACATCGTGCTTGTTGGCTTCTTCACTATCCCCTCCGTCTACTGTACCCTGCTGAGCTATTATAGCCGTTTAGGCGAAGAAATTTGTCCGCGTCTTTACCAATTCAGGCTGAACAGGAAGGCGGTGCGTTCGAAGGACGACTACGTCTCGCAAGAGAATACATGCCCTTGCATTTTCTGTTCTTCGAACGTGTCAACTAATACCCCCCGTACTCGCTACCCTACTCCTGTATTCTTTCGTAGGCATTATCACGAGAGGGCCCACTGTTCCTCGCTGCCATACACGCACGACAGCCGTCCGCGAAATCCCGAGTGGAGACCTTCATGCTGTCAAACCCCACGGCATGCCGTCCTTGTTCTCATGTTTGGATAGGTTTACCGCGAGCTCCCTCGCAAGACACAGCGACCGCTCCCAATGCCCCCGGTCACTGCCATGTGACGACTCCCGGCAAAGTGATCATGCATGGAATCAAAGTACCCGCGCAAATGTTTTTTTTTTTCCCCAGTACCTGGTACCCGTTGTGGGCCTCGAGGGTAGCAAGACCGCAGGTAGACGGCCCCCTCTGCACGTCCCACACGATCACGTTGCCATTCAGAGAACCCGTTGCAGCTAGCTACCCTCCTCAAGCGTCCCCAGCAGCAAAGACACAACCACAAATCCGGGGGGCGGTGAAAGGGAGAGGGTAGCAAAACATGACCTTTAGGCTCGTGTTTCGCAATTGACTGGGAAGTCACAGAGCCGGAGTTGCCATAGCGAACAACATTGAAAACAAAGGGCCACCTACGCTTAATGAACTTCTTTGAAGCGGGGTACGTTATGCAGTTGTTCTCGTTGTTGCAAGACGGAAATCGGTTCTGCTCCGTTTCGCGGCAGCCCTGATTGTATACCCCGGGTGCGTTTGCAGCACAAAGGAGTGCGGGAAAGGAAGGTGAGTGGGTAGCGCGCTGCACGTTGACCAGTCACCAGCATCTCAAGAAACGTACGTTAGCCGATTTTCCCACCTCTCCCCCCCCCCTCCTGCACTCCTCTGAGTCATGTGTTTGGTTGTACCTGGTACATGTGACTGACGGCCACGGTCGTGATGTGGCTCCTGAACCGGCTCCCAATGTTCACCTGTGCATCTTTCCCCCCCTTCCTACCGCCCCCACCCCGTCCATCTATTTTCTTCCCTCCTGCGTAACCCCCGCCTTTGTTGTTGGCTCCACCGCCGTCGTGTCCTGGCGATTTTCATGGGAACGGATACCCCGCAACATCAAGCAAGGATGGGACCTTCCCACCCGAGGCATGACTCAAAGGTATGCCTTGAAAGCTTTATAGCAACGGAGGGTCAACGCTACCGACCGGAAGCGAAACACCAACAGAAGATTTGCGAAGCTCTCGCTTGCTTCCGACTCTGTTAAGGTCGTCATCAAAACAAGCGGGGAAAATACTCCGCCATGCCGTGCGGTACATTTCCCCGTACCTTGCCCTTCCCCGCCGGTGCCGCCTTGAACGTGCCGGCGGCGACGGCGGAGGGGACTCTCCTGATCTTCTCCGTCGCGTTGTCGCAGCCTGTCACTCCTGCTGCTGCTGCTGCCGCCCCCGCCGCCGCCGCTGCGCAAGAAGCGCTTGGCGAACTTCTTATTGAACAAGGACGAGGACGACGGTCGCGGTTTCTGCCCCACAGGTGGTGTTGGCGTCATCCCCTGCAAAAAACATGTTTCGTCCAGCCAGGCGATGCATACTGTAGTTTCTCCCGAAGGGCGGCACGATAAAACAAGCAGATCAGACAAACGAACCAATCTTGATAAATACGCAGCACCAACCCCGAGACCATCCACGTTTCCGGACAAACCAGGGAACCCAAAATCCCAGCCCTACCGTAGTTGTTTTGGTGACATGTCATGTCACCCCAGCTAAAACTGTCGTATTGCACCGTCGGCGGTAAAATCTTGAATCTAGCCCGGATGGAAATCAGACAAGGACGAGAACGACTTCCACCAAGGGGTCAACTCACCCCGACGGTGGCAGCAGCACCAGTAGGTGCTTCTGCTACTGCTCGAGGCGACCTCAGCTCTTCGACCTTGCCGCCGCCCGCTTGTTGTGCCACTTCCCTGTCTTCGTCGGTGAAGTCGGCGCCTTCCGCGATAACTCCACCGACGCCGGCGATTCGGACGCTTTTGGCGTTGTTGCCGTGGTTGCCCTTGCCAGACCTTGCAACGATCTGACGTTCGCTTGTTCTATCATTTCCAGAAGCGCTGGTGCTATTGTCGTTGTCGATGAACATATTGCTGTCGCTCTTCCCGCGCAGTGTTGCTCTACCGCCTTCTCCTTGTCCTCCTCCTCCCGGTGGTTGTCCTCCCATGTTTGAGGAAACCCCCGACGGCATGCCTGTCCCTCCCCCCTCTCGAGTAAGCAGCGTACTAGTGCTGCTGTTGGTGTCCGTGACTGTTGTGATTGTCGGTGCCCCGCTCCATGCTGTAGCTTCTCCAGCCGTACCGCCGCGGTTCGAGTCGCTTCTCCAGTTACGCCCTGCACGAGCGCAAACATGCAACCGCAAGGTCATCATAACCGACATGTCCTGATCATGGTGCAGGCCAGTGTCTCTTGTACTACCGTGCTATGCTAGTGCCATTGTGGTACTTTTGCTACTACTGCTGATAAGCTGCGGCCGTGAATGTTGCTACCGGTTGACCGACAGCGGGGACAGCTACTGCGCTTGTGGTACCGTAGTTTCAGGCCGAAATTTCCGCTGCCAGCCTCGCCCCGTCCCTGTACAAGAGCAACTTTACGCCGTCACCCCGACGCCGAACCAACCCTGCTCAACCAACGCTTGTTTTTCTTCGCCCTGAGTTTATCGTGTCGAGGTTTTTGAACATACGAAACAAGGCGTACTGCTCGGTTCAAGCACCGGCGCCACAGTAGTTTCGGCCGTCTCCCATGACCGGCATTGCCGTAAACCACCCCTAAGGACTCTTGAGATTCACCAACAACGTAGGGAGATACCTGTACCAACCTCCCTGTCTCGAGGTTGTCCCATTCGATTGTAGTAGTTCTATCTCGACCTTTCACAAAAGAGTTACCTCGGAAAGACTCAAGCGTCGTCAGAAAGGTCTTCTTCGCGCGCAGGATTTTTGCACCGACCATCAGCTGCTTCACGGCGCTTGCAACGTTCACCACCGTGCCTTCGACGATCTAAGGAAAATCATGAAACGTTTCAAACGGGTACGTACGTAGAACAACGTCTTAGGCTATCTGTGGTACTTCGTGGCTTGGGCACGCACCCGCTGTCGAGAAGAGAATCCATGGTTTAGGCCATACTTGCGTAGATGGCCCTAGCACGGCCCGCGGTCGTTCGGTCAGTTGATCTGTTCCTCGCTTCACGAAGCATTGCTAAGGAAACACAAAGGTCTCTCTGAAGGACAGTTTTTTTCTGTTTTTTATACAGAAGTGACTTCGACCCGGCTGCCAGGAGGCTACACGAAAACAATCAGGTCGAACATCCTTTGCCAGTTACACCTCCGACGAAACGGCAAACCGGAAACCGAAGCCTCAATACTTGCTTGCATCCCAGAACGGGGCAAACGACAGCCTCAACGAGAAGGTCTGCTAGCACGGACTACTCTCAAAGGACATCTTGCTACTGTAGGTTTCAGGGACAATTATTTCTTCCTGCGAGCTTTTGGACATTTCGAGATTGTTGGTTCGTCTTGGCGTCCGGCGCTCGTTCTTCTCAGTCCAATTGGTCGTGCCGGCATAAGCTTTTTCGCGCAGGAGCAGGACTTCCCTGCCTTTCGTTTTCCCGCTCTCGATTGCTCGGCAACATGAGTCCCGGAGAATAGGGTGGCGTCAAAAACTAATAATAACCACTGCTGTCGTCTGAACCTGTTTTTATATGGTGTTCTTCCAACGCTAGAAATTTTGTTTTTCCGATGCCTGCCCCATGTAAACCTTGGTCCGATGTCGAGACACCCACGGACGAAGTGATCGCAACCAACTACAACACCCCATCAGTGAAGAAGCAACGCTCAACAAATGGAGAAACACACAGCTTTACATCATCATTGACAAATATCACCTACAAGTACGACGTGCAGACAAGGGTCCTCAGGAGTGCCGGTTGAATAGTGCCGACGCCCGGTGTTGTGCCGGTGTTCTGGGCGGGCACAGACTAATCACTAAATCATTAAGTTCTTCGAATAGTGCCGGTATACTGGTCTGGTCCGTACCGGCACTACTGAGCCCCCCCCCACTGTACCTGGTTGGATCTCTCCATGCGGATGGCCTCCAACGCAGGGTCCAGAACCATGATCTGGTACGAGAAAGCAGCGGCGCGTGTTTGGGGAAGAGCATCCACCCCATTCAAAAAAAAAAGATTTTCGAGCGCACCCCCCCTTCAGAGCGCACGAATATATCAGGTAAATTCCTTCTCAAACGTCAAGTCTGGGCATGAAAGACGTTCACATCGCATGAGCACTAACAAAAAAAAAACCGTGCCTGTGAACGTGCACTTGCCGTTCGTCTCGGTTCCGCAACATCAACCGCCAATTTTTGGAGTGACGCAGTCGCATCCGAGGCGGACAAGACCAGGGCCCTTTTCGAAAAAGTGACGAAACGCAAGGCAGGAAATAGGTTGGGTTCTTTAGTACGTTGTCTTGTGGTTTTGAAAGAGAATTTAAAACCAAAAATAAACCAGTACACATCGGTATGATGTGTGCATGGACATTTCTTCTCACTTGATTTCTTAGTCAGCAACGCCGTGCCTGCCGAGATTAGACGGGTTAATTGTGAAGGGACAAGGACTATGAATCGCAACAACAGAAACGAAGACTGAAGGTAACAACGACGACAACGACAACGACGACGACAAAAACAATAACACCACCAACAAAATATACATCGCAAAACTAAAGATGGAGGGGCTGATGTCGTAGTAAAACGACGCAAGCGTAGAGGGCCAGGATGGAAAGGACTTGAGCTCGATGGGTTTCCGTCACAGAGCAGCTATGATAGCTGCACGCTGCCCGACGAAGGGCGTCTGTTTCGCGCTTCTCACCCGCATGCATCGTTCCACACACCCGCCACATCGGTCACCTCCCCGGGATGGAAGTCCAGCTGTCCCACGAGCCGTCCCGTGAGGTACCGTGCACACGCCACGCGTCCCGTGTTGAAACCCATGACAATCTGGTGCCCGCGAGAGTCAATGCACGCGCTGGTGGGTAGGCATACCGCCGTACACCACCGGCATTCGCAGGGTACAGTCGTGGGGTGGAAGGAGCATGGTAACTACAGCAGTTCACGTTTGTTGGAGTGATCCACAGTTATGTGCGATCAGTGGCGAAGCCATTTCTACATCACATTGCCCATGCATAAGAACTACGCCATCCGCTAGCCACTTTTTGGCTTGGCGGGCGAAGTGGAGCAACCGCCGGTACCTCCGGGGGTAGATACGAAAAATAAATTATTCAACTCGAGGCAGGGAGTTGTATGCTTGTGCACGTCATACCAAGCGAAGACCATCGACACAATTCCCACCACACTTTTGAGCAGAGAGCCGTATGATTCGTTCCCCTTCCCTCGCCCCTGCTAGTCGCGTGTCCTCCGTCAAACAAACCTCGAATCAAACAAAATCTCGACTCAAACCAACCTCGTGATCTCCTCAGCTTCGCCTGCCTCCACCCCGCGAAAACGGCCGGTACCTTCAGCGTCGCCGCAGTCGCCATTAACATCGACGACGCGGGAGAAACCTACGCCCCCCGCCGCTCCTAGCCCTGCCCGCCTTCGTTTGGCCCATCGACCGCCGGAGGAAAACGTGGCCGGCCGAGGAGGAACGCCATAGACTCTCGTTAACCTTCCTGTTGTCGTGAAACGTCCGTCGTGAGGGTGGGGTTTTTCAACTGTGCCTTAAACAAGAAAGAACAACAATCTGGCTGTGCCACGTGGTGATCCATGCCTGTGGTGGTAGGTATGTGTTTTGACATTCTATTAGTTTTGCTGAGGAGGAAGGCCGCATGCGCTCTCTGAGCAACACCTCTCTGTTTTTGATCTACCGGGACGTTATGTTGTTCGAGAGCGAGGTGATGTTGTCGAAAGTAGAAAGCCTATCGTGGGTGGGTTCCACGCGTGTCGGGGCTTAGCTTCAGGCCAGGTCGTGACTGTTGTTTTGAATTTCCGGTGTAAATGCTAGAAGGTCGTTGCGGGTTCTACACACACACACACACACACTCAACCTAGCAACCCAACCCCACCTGTTCTAGCGTCCCAAAGCTTGATCCCTGTGGACGCCACGGAAGCGAAAGTTCCCGTCTCCGAGTGGTACATGACGTCTATCGTCTGTGCTCAAGACAAACGAAGCGCGAGACAGACAGGCCAGCACGACGTGGAACGACACACGCTTGTCTTACTTCGATTCTCGAGGGGAGGAAACGTATACTACGTGATGTCGACTAGGTAGCCACTTTGAAGCGGTGACAACGAGATCAATCTGTCCTTCGGTGACCTTTTCACACAAATCAATTCTTGCAGGAACAAACGTGCACAGACTCGAAGGAAATGCAGGAAAGATCTAGGCGTGATGGCAGTCAGCTCGGTCACCTGGTTGCTGTCGGTGACGTCCTTTTCTCCCGCCCGACCGTTGTCGTGAAAGTCCAGCTCGGTGCCGCGACACACGAGAAGACGGCTGGTCTCACCCTCGAACAGGAAAAGGTCTACAACGCCACAACCGCCGGGTGCGAGCGAGGCCTTGCTTTTCGTTTTCGCCTCCCCACCGTCCTGCCACCAATTTGATTAGTTTCGGGAGGGGAGGGAGGGAAAGGGATTTATGACTAGAGTCGGAAAAGCGTGTCACCGTGTGTCGGTATGAAGGTTGTGTGTGCCTAGGAGTATGCAAATGCAAGTCGGTTTTTCATACGACAGGTTTCCAACGCAAGGTGACAGTCATGAGGCCAACAGCGGCTTGCTGCTCCCTCCCCCTGTTCCGATGGTGTTTGTGCAAAGGAGGTTCATCCAAAAGATGTACGTGAAGAGTCTTTGCTGACATTCAATCGTCGTAATCTACACGCTTCACAATGTCAAGACACAACGGGCATTGTACATACCACGCATGAATACCTCGTTGTACCCTGGTTGGCACGATTTATTTATTGTGTGAACATCGCTCGCGTTTGGATGAACAAAACGTATCTGGTCGTTTCCATGATAATTAGGATACCTGGCTGGCTTTTCCCCATTGCATCTTCCCGCCGCCGCCTCCGTGCCCCGCGCCCTTACCACCTCTACCGGCGGACGACGACGGAGCCCCCGGTCTCTTCTCCTAAAGTAAGGGTAGGCAAACGATACACCAGGTTCGATCGGTAACAATTGTTCATGATTTCTTTGCACCGCCTTTTTCTCTTCGAATCGGCAATATATCCGCCGATCATGATCAATGTATCTTGGCGGAAACAAGTTGATACCGATGAAGCTTACGTGGAGTCTGTTTGCTCAGGGAGGGCTGTGGCACTAGTGCCGCACGCGGACTGTCTGGGACGTGCTTATAGTGATGCGACCGTAGAATATTACTAATGGGAGCTCTCTAGACAGTACATTGTTGTGACGACATCCTCTGCCTCTCTGTCTCTCTGCCTTGCTTCCTCTCTCACACACACGGGCAAATACCTGCTGACGGTGGGAGTGAATCGTCTGAACGCACTTGAAGTTGGCCGAGTCCCACACCTGCAAACAGTAAAGGACGGCAGAGGAAGACAAAGGGCAACGAGAATGTGTGGTAATACGGACCCCCGAGAGGGGGAGCCAGAGTGCGCGAGGGCGGGAAAGATATTGACAAACGAACCGCGGGAAAATATGGACAACCATGCAAAAGGAGTCAGCCAGAAGAATTCCGTGACCACCTTCCTCTACTCATAACCTCGACGGCAAATCTATGTTTCGACTATGGTAGTATTCGAAATACTATTTCTGAGACAACAAAAGTAAGTGCGGAACATGACATATTTAAATAGACAACAACAGACGTTGGTGACACGTGCAAGTTGCAACACGACAAGTCAGTTGAGGAACCCCGAAAATGAGGAACAGAAGAAAATGGACCTTTAAAAATATACGTGCTTGAATCGGAACAAGGACGTGAGTATGCACGTATTCTACCCAACCAAGTTACCCCACAAGCGGTTTCTTGGGGATCAAATGCGCAATCAAATGCGCATTTTTATGTTTTCGTGTGGTCGCCGACCTTAATTATGCCGTCCATGGAGACTGAGATGACGTCCGACGAAACGGCGCTGACCCTGGCCGCAACAAGGGAGCACCCGTGGCCCGACAGCCGACATATGACCTGGGAGACATTCACCAATATGCATGGCATGGTGTTTAACAAGGAAACAAGCAGATGCCCAACCAACGGATTGCGGTATGCTCATGCTTGGGGCGTCTTGAGCGTGGCATGAGCGAGTCCAGGGCGTGCGCAACGACAGAGAAGTTCTTCCCTGAGAAATACAACGCGTCGTTCTTCAGCCCACTCACTCACGGAAGTTCACTTACACACCTGTCCTGCAACAGGGCTCCAGACGAGGATGTCGTGGTCGAATCCCGCGCTGACTATGACCCGCTGAGTGGGGCTATAGTCGATGGTGACAACGCCTCGGCTGTGACCCTTCATGACGCGCTTGAACTGTTTTTTGGGTCAGGCGGCAAGGAGGAGGTGCGGCAAAAGGGAGGGGGGCACCAAGCGGTGAAGCATACATATTTGGCCAAAAAACAAAATGTACGGGTACAAGGCATGTACGTGCGTACGTACGCTGTTTCTGCTAGAAACGCTGTCACCTTGAAACGTTGAACTATTTCGGGCGCTAGACGTCGAGGTTCCCACAGGAATGCATCTGTAGCCCTTCGCCCATTTTCTGACAGCCTTGTAGGTTCTGTTCACAATACATGGCTGACCGCCTAACAGCAACATCAACAACAACGACGACGACGACAAATGCTCCATGCTACATGGCCAGCAGGTGCTGGTCTTATACCTTGTAGGTCTTCGTTGCCCACACGCGGATGTCGGCATCCAGCGAGCCAGTCACGAAAACCTCCGGGTGCGGCAGGACGCACGCCGAGGTGACAGCTCCGGTATGCCCCGGGAGAGTGTTGAGGATTTCCAAGTGCTTCGCCGTGAGCTATTTTTGGGAAGGCGTTGAGTTTTTGGGCCGGAGGGTGTATTCGTTCGTTGCACGCTATGCGGCCTTGTGTTGGATACCTCCGGAGATTGCTCATATTCGTCGCTCTCCCGGCAGTCAGGCTCGCCCGCACCTAACTGCGTTAATACGCGCGTACCACCCTCTACCCGTCCTTTTGGACCAACCCCACGAGACACACAGAACATACAGTTCCCACCCAAATCACCGAACGGGTTAAAAAAAGCACAAGCACCAATTGTTCTGTTCAAATACTCGACCCTCCTGACCCGAAGCGAGAACGGGTCGATATTTGTGGGCACTCTTTAGTGCTTATACGTTGCCACGGTATTAGCTATACACGTGCTTGATTCCTGCGTGAGGCCAGAACAGGAATAATTTCCAGTAATTCGAACCAAAACAAACAAGCATTAAGTTTTTGCTGGGCAAATTGACTGCCCCAGAGTGAAGTAGATGGTAGCCTGTTGCCTAAATCCAGACTGAATAGCCTGACCTTCCCGCCCACCCCTACCTGCCAAATGTTCACCGTGCCCCCGGCGCCACCAGACACGAGGATGGCGGAAACATCCGCGGCACCATTCCCTTTGCTGTCACCGCCACTACCGCCGCCACCGCCACTGCTGCGCGGAGGGTCAACACCACCTGCCGAGGACACCAGAGTTCAACCGAAAGAGGAGTGGGTCACATTTATGCACGGTGGTGATTGCTGTCTGAAACGGTTCGATTTTTTTCCTGGCGGACTGGGCACCGAGCTGTCGAACTCTTCGAGAGGTTCTCTCTTCGACGGTCGAAAGATCGATGTCGTTCCGTCTCCCGGGAGGAGGAGTTCGGGGAGAAGTCCCAATCCTACTTTTATTCCCTAGAGCGGTTGATCTGGTTGCGTTGGTGGCGGTGGGATTGCATTCTCATCAGCATTGTCCAGGCCTCAACCACGCTCAGTTGGTTCTGGCGGATTTCTGTCGAAAGGCGTGCTTTTATAGCGTCCACGACATCGGAAACTGGCCGTTTGAAAACTTTGCGGCGATTATCTTCCGGATCTCTTAAGGTGTAAGGACGTTGATTTCAGGTGGTTGTTTCGTCGGTTCTCGTTTCCATCGTTCCTTGCTTCATACCCCTCACCCCTATTCCTCAACAAGTCGACTTTTGAACCCGGAAACCGCGCGGCGTTTCTCAAGTGGTCGATTACGACAGCATCCACCGACGATGACGTCGCTCATATTCGCTAACTCACATTCGCTAACTCACATACACGAGGGTTTGACAGACACGGCAACCTCATCTACGTTACAGTTCATCACGGTCAGACGTCATGGACAGGGCACAGCTAGACGGGGGCACCTGACCGGAGAGAGCGCAGCCACTTCAGCATGACCTGAGGCTCGCAGGCCTTCGCCTGCCTCTTCCCGGCGGGCCCGACGACGGCATCGAGCTTGGGCTTCAGAATCATATCCCAGCACCTGGTTGTTTGGTTGTTGTTTGTTTGATTTATTCGCCATCAGACCGGCAAGGCCATGCAGGGCAGGAAAACACAGGAGAACACAGGAAAGAGCACAGACAGGAAGATAGGTCAGCGGGGGTTATCGTTCCAATGAATTCAATACCGATGGCGATGTGCTTGTTGTCATAGCCCCTTTCGATGCTTTGCACGTTGTCGTAGCCCCTCTCGGTTCTTTGCACGTGCTACAATAAGTGGTATAAAACATGCGCAAATATCGAGGCGCTATTGTGGCATTTTCATGGAACTTAGGGTTAGACTCACTCTTGTTGACACGAACGAGGTGTACGGCAAAAACGAAACGCAAGCATCATCATCAGCAAGACTGAAGCTCCCTTCGTCCCGTGTTTGATGTCGTCTGTGAGCTCGTTTAACCATTAGATATCTGAGTCTCTGATGACCAGCCCATTACATCTCGAATGCTCCATTTAACCGCTAGATATCTGAGTCTCTGATGACCAGCCCATTACATCTCGAATGCTCCTTGTGTGGTCCTCATCAGCTTGTTTCCGGCGGGATTTGACTCACACAGCCCGTGGCATTGACCAACGACCCGGTTGAACCTATGTACCTGAGCATTCGATCCTTCTCGCCCGAAGTGACAAGCACGTTGAAGGGCGCCGCCACGAACGCCATGGCCAGCACCTGCCCCGAGTGCCCCTTTACTCGCACGGGCGGGGGACTGGGGGACGAGGAAGAAAGACCTAGGAACAAAAGTGAGTGGCAATGAGGCCCAAGGGAGGGGAACGTCGGTAAGAATGTCGTTGTTCCGTATGTAGCACCGTAAGCCCCGCACGCCCCATTCCCACGCTCCGGGGGGGAAGTACGGCCTGGGAAAGAGAACATCAAAGACTTCGCTGAGGTTGAATGTATATGGGTATCTAGACTACCAACAATGTTCGTGTGCGTTAAGTTAGAAGATCGTGTATTGATGATATTCACACGTCCATTTGGACGATATTCTCGACGGCCTGTACCCGGTGAACACGAACTCGGGCGACCGGCGGAGCATTGACGAGCAGAAACAACATCGCTGAGGCCATACAAAATATGCTGTAAACTTGGAGGGTGGAACAACTTGTCGTGGGACGACGCAGAAATTGATCGTTTCTTCCAAAGGCGGACGTTTTAGAACAGTTCAGCTAAAGCACTACTGTACCGACAGTTCGAAACAAGTGTTCGCAGCAAAAAAAAATCGACAAAATTTGCGTGGTCCTCTACGTGACCATTTTGTAGAAGCAGCAGCAGCAGCAGCGGCAGAAGGAGGCACGCAGACACGCAGCGTCTTGATAGCACATACATCGCACACCCGAATCATACCATCGAGGCTGGCGACGATGAAAGAAGAGCTGTGGCGAACCAAGAGCGCCGCCACATCCAGCTCTTGACCCGCTCTCGACACATTGAATACAATGGCGCTCTCCAAGCCCAAGATCTTCAACGGAACGAAAACACGTGACAAGACGGGGGGTTAGCCACTCACCTCGGTTGCTAATAACGAAGGTCCCCCGGAAGGGAGGCGGGAGGGGGCTAACGATTGTCGTATACCAACTTCGTTCCAAATCTGTTGTTGCCAACGCATCTATTCCAGGGGGAGGGAACTACCTACTAACACATCGTCCTCCGTAAATCGTACATTCACGGAGCAAGGAGACAAGTGATACTTCCGGTTCGAGTTGTGGTTGGCGGTCTAAAACCTGTGCATTGCAAGCATGAAAACCGCGCTCGAGTGGCTCTCATCTAGGTGTCCCGTTGAATTTTGAGAAACCGGGAGAGAAAAAACATCGTGGCAAACACGCCCCAGGCTCAGCACGGATAGGACTGGTCAAGATTCGGGGTTGTGTTTCGGCTCAGGCAAGGCGGTGTCGTGCACACGTGTAAACGTAGAACACGCCACCACCGAGGAATGTTTCATTCGGCGGAGCCCCACAGCACAGGTTCTCGGTAGCGGTCAGAGTCAGGGTCCGCGACAAGCCGTCTGTCGGGTGTGTATTCACAACCATGCCAACGAAGCCCTTCCAACGCACCCCCCTGCCCTCTGCTGCTCACACCTTGGGAATGTGGACGGACCCGGCCGGCAAGTACTGGCGAGGGCCTCCGTGTCCTCCGGTGCGGCCGCTATCACTGGAATTCGACGCACACACCACGCAAACAAGTTGGTATCACAGGGCTGGGGGGTTCCCGTGATCACGCATGCACGGGCTTGGTGTACGTGCAGCCACAAACCCTTCATAGGCCTTCAAAACCGGGACACGGAACACTCAATGGATCTTCACCCACCGGGAAACCACATCACCTACCATTCATTTGAGAAACGCCATTTTGGGCGGGAGGGGAAGGGGTTGCCGCCCCAAACATTATCCGTTCCAAAGCTGATGTTGGCAGCGGTTCTTACCTTAGACGATTGACAGAGTTTATTTTCCATATTCTGGTCTGCCAGACGATGTTTCCCTTTTACGACACACACCCACACGCACACGCACGGATGTGTACGTGAAGAAGAAGTCAGAAAAAATACAAGGATTGCGAAGAGAAGCTGGACATCAAACGAAAATAACTCTCCTCACTCGTCGAAGAGCAAGAAGTTGCTGAGCTCGTCCCAGGTGGTCCAGTCCCCGTGCTGAAGGCTAATTAGTTCAAAAAGACGCCCATACAAGATCACCTGCTTCGTGTGAGTGCGGAATACGGAAAATGGAGAAAAGTAAGTCAGCGTCCTCCATAAATCGTGCAAATCTACCTGTTGTGCGGTGTTTGTGGGAGGGGCACCAGGTTGACGATGTGCTGAATGACAGAGGGTTCTGACGAAACGGCGTCACTGGGTCTACTGTTAGTGGTATGGTGAAACAGTGGGGAAGTCGTTCTGATGGGGCGGATGCCTTCAAGTGCTTGCCCTTCGTGCCGGAGGCTGACTACCTCTAGCAAGTCCACTCGTATCGTATTGTGCGCGTTAGGTCGGGAATGGATGACTCGGCGCCGAGGAAACGTTTGTTTATTTTGCGCCAGGCCCGTTCCCCCCACGAGGGCCCCGGACGAAAAGGGTAATTCCGCCTCTGAACACTATTGACCCATCCAGAACCTGTCTTACCATCTGGTCCGGAGCGGAAGCCGCTAGTTTTGACTGCGTGCGTTCAGGGTGGGGCACCGCCTCGTTGGACCAACGGGCACGGAACCCCCTGGGAGTGTTACGATGAGCCGGAGGCACAGCGACATGACCGCTTTTATTGGCGTCTGCGATACAGGCACCGGCTCCAGCACCTGGTGATGTGCTAGCTGCTGCTTCAGCTGCTTCCAATTCTGCTGCTGCTGCTGCTCCTGGAGTTGTTGTTATGGCTGACGGTTTTTCACCACCAACACAGCGGTCGTCGCACCACTCAGCTGGTGCTACTGACACCAATGGTGCCGCTGGTGCAACTGGAGCCTGTTCGTCACCAATATCACAACAGCGGTCCTCATCTGTTCCTTCTGCTGAGATGGAGAGAAGCAGCGGCGTTTCTTGTTCAGAAAGGCAGCAGTCTCGACAAGTTTCTGTCGAAACACTCGAACATCACCTACTTCAATCGACACCATCACATAGGGAGGCTTCGGTGAATACCATGTTGACTTGAACACACGTGTTCAGATGCGCAGACGTGGGTGGGGACCGATCTTGGATTCGTTTGCAACTGCTACTAGACAGAAACCCTCCGGACACGAGTGGCCGCTTCAACGTTAGGTGGAGCTAACTGGAAGAAGAGAGCGCGCCAAAGAAGGTGAGATCCAACCTATTGCAGTCAGACGGCTGTCTGACACGGCCGTTTATCAGCACTATCAGGGAAGCACGACTGAACTGGTAAAGACGTTTAGTGGCGATTTTTACATAATAGTAATATTGAGGGAATTGTCTAGCAAGCAACGAGACATGCGAGAAGGCGTTCGCGCCCTCACGGCCATCGTCGTCGGTGTCTCTCTTATGTGGGACCGACGGTGGCGGTGACTACGAGAGTGCCCCTCCCTTCCTCACCAACATCACCATCGTCTTCACATGCGGCCCACAGTAGTGCCTCAATGAAGGCTTGCCTTTCAAGCCGCCCACCAGACGCGCGGAATGTCGATTGGATTCGATCTAGCTCTCTAGCCCCAACCTGTTCAACAAGAGTACAGGCTAGCAACCGTCCGTTTGCGTACACTCAGAAGACTATTTCTGGTGCTTTGTCTAACACGTGTGCCGGAAACTATCACAGATGTGCGCCTACGTACATAGCTCTCCATGAACCGTTCAGTGGGGTCGAGGTTGTACGCCTGGTTTGTCCACCACGGTAAATGTTTTGGCGCATCTTGAACCGAGCGAGATCTCTCTCACTTGTGTGGTGATACACGGGTACAGGCACCTTATTTCACTTATCCGGCGCGTGAGTCGCCTCGCCACAGTAGTTCGTTGCAAAGCAATCGCTTGTCAAACAGGCGATTATGGGACCAGCGAGCTCTTAGGAATACAAGTTGGTACGACTACGTTTTGACTAGGGGTATACCGAAGGCTTACATACCAGATTTAATACCCTCTTGCGGACGCCGTTTTCGATGTCCAAGCCATGAAGATTCCCCTGCGACCAACCACTGCTCCCGTCTCTCCCCGCCCCTTGACCACTACGGCTCCCATAGACTTGGCCGGGAACGCTTCCACCCATCGTTTCGGGGTCGAGCACCCCTGAGGGAGACTGGACACGGCCGTCTTTATCAGGATCGGCTTCTGCCTCCTCCCCAGGCGCGTCATTAGCAAGTCGATCGCCACCCGAACCATCGCCACCGTGCTGGGAAGACGTACCGACCTTTGCCGTAGGTCCTTCTCTCCCATCGGCTGGGGATATTGGGCCTGCATTTTCACGCGTCTGCCCGCCTTCGGTGGCAGCCGTTGTAGCAGCTACGCCGACCTCTTTGTTGGTGTTGGCGCTGATATCCCTACTAGTGGTGGTAGCTCCCGTATCGGCGATTGGGGCCTGGTTGTCCATGTTCATACCAGCGGCGTACATGATCTTCTCTTTCTGCCTGTTTTCCTCCTCGCGCATTAGGCTCGCTGCGCGGAACAGGTTTGGGTGTTCGGTAGAAAGCCTCCACGGCCGTACCCCCTTACCCTGCGTGTATGTCAGAAAATGATTGGGCAAATGAGTTTTGGGTGCGACATGGCACACCCGTAATGGGGGCAAAGTACCCACACTAGCCACTATTAGTGCGCCGCCGACACCTTCCGGTGGTAACGTGGTGTATGTGTCTCAGCGGCCTCGCCATGTCAAAAATGTTTGTTGTTTTCGGTGGAGGGAGGCATAGACGTTAGTCTAGATACGCCAGTTGCTGGGTAGTTGAATGCATGTGCGTACACGAATGCTCTTTGGTCGATCCTGCAATCACTGCCATCTAGGGTAGTTTCCTTACGCTCCTCCCTTTTTCCATAGCTTAAAATTGCCAACATGCGGTCACACGTCTCTGGTTTTGGTCCATTCTCCATTAAAGCAGGAGGAAAGAGCCGGTGACAATACCAAGGCAATGTATCTACACTGTACAGAAACAAGCAGGCACGATGGTATCCGTACGGCAGAGGACATGCAGTACAGCCCTTAGGTGTAGACACGTCTCTTAAGATGATCCACGAACGACACACACCTTCTTCACTGCAGCCTCGAAAACAGCCAGTTCCCGGTTGTCTCCTTGTCGAATGAGGCGCATTCGATCGTTAACCTTGGTCCTGGTCCTCGTTGGTAGCACCACGGGCGCCGGCCTGTGCGTCTCGCGCTTGTCATGGACGGTGTTGGCCCTATTCGAACACCGGGTTGTTCATCAGAATGCTTCTGACCGGCTATTATCGATGTTGTGAATACATCCCGTCCGGTCTTTCAGTGACATGATCAGTAGCCGTACTTGCAGCTTTGCATTGATTGTATTCGTTCGGCAGGTGCGATTCAGAATTGACGGAAAGTTACCTCCAGAGGATCATACCATGCAGCTGCAGAATAAATGTAACTATATCTTCTGAGCCACATATCCCTGGACAATGATCTACAGCGCTGGCTTGGAGTTGGTACCTTGCATATGATTGTGTAAGTGCGGAAGCGACCACCACCATGGTCGAGTACACACACGGCTGTGTGCATGTATCATCATGCGTACATGTGTAATTCCTGCCTGTCGGCCATGAAAACCTAAGTTCAGACACAGCCAGTGATATTTCGCACGTTCTCCTCGACCACGTTACTAGCCACACGAACAAACGCAACGCAATCTACATATATACGTGTGGGCCGCACCTGGGCATGGTTGGGCATGCCGTGCTGGCGTGCCCAGATGGAAGATCTCGTGATGACTGATAATCCGATATTCGGCCACGTAGAGATATATGGCTTTGGGTGGTTGTCCCGCCTTCTCCCATAAGTGGCCAACGGGCACACACGCGGGGGTATTGTATTTAGTGACGGCAGTAGTGAGGGGAAAAATAGGACAGTCAGCATATCCCTTGTCGACGACCGACCGAACGACCCACGACTGACCGAAAATCCGAACTCTGAAACGGTGGATATTTCACCGCATAAACGCCTCCTGCGGCTATACAACTCCTTCGTTCAGTTACGCCGCATCTCTCTCATTTCGCTCTTTCCCGTGCTCGTGGCCCTCTCCTGGCATGATATACCCATCTCCAGGGTGCGCTTTCGCCCTTGTACCATGCGTCGGCGTAGGTCAAGGTCATGGGGAACCGAATGTGAGACCGCATGCGGCGGCTTGGTGGCACTCTACCGAGTACGCTGGCAAGCGAAATCGTCGGCGTCAACACCCCGCCGCTCAAGTGCAGCAGGCTTTCCACGACGACAACGGCGACAATGGCAGGAGGGCTAGCGAGACATGGCGAACCTTGCCCTATCGCTGCAGGATTCCACTGTTGGAAAGAAGACGGCGGCGGCGGCGATTGCCACAGTCCGTGAAGGTCAACGGTCCAACGGAGGACGGGGGGCAAGAGGCTTTGGAATCAAGGTGCAGCATCGGCGGTGTGCAACAAGGGCAACGACGGTGGCGGCAGGCCAAAGACGTTGTCATCCCGCCATCGACGACAGCAGTCCACTCTTCGTTCGCCAGCGGTGAAGATGTGGTGGTGCTCGACGACCCCTTCGAAGAACTGGAAGGAGACCGGGCGAGACACGCGTGTGTAGTCCACAACACGCTGGCAGCAGGCCCAACGCCGTACAACGACGGCTGGGAGTGGCAGAAGCAGGTGCTTTCGTGTGCATGAGCTTCGTGTGCATGCTACCCTTTTTTTGGCGGCAAGATGGATACGAACATGCAGCTCTAGACACGAGCACACAGCCCCCGCCCTTCCACACACACGCATATTTCCAACAATCTCATGCCCACCTTGGCCCAATGCCTGCGGCCGCCCCCCCGTGTTCGATTGCTGCTGCTTTAGAACTTGGCGCGGCTGGCGGAGCGGCCGGACGACCTTTCCTCCCCCGATGCGGAGCTCGACCGCGTGCTCCTGACGCAGCACAACGCCGTGTTCACCCTCGGTACCGGCAGTTCCTTGGACAACCTGAGGTTCGAGCCTGACGAAGCTCCATTCGGCGAGGTGGTGCGCACCGAACGGGGCGGGGAGGTGACCTACCACGGCCCGGGCCAGGTGCGAGAAAGACATGGAAGCTTGTCTTTCTCTCTGGTTGATTGATGTGTGCGGTTGTGAGTTATTGTCATGGCGCTACACTGCCCCCCTCCCAGGCGCTTCGCGCTTGGTAATGTGCTACATAGCCTGGTACGGTGACAACACGGCGTGCTCCATCCTGGCTTTTGGAGGGATGCGAGGTCAACGGTCTACGGCATGCACCGCTATGAGTGCACACCCCCTCTCCCCTGCCTGACACCGCCGGGTTTTTTTCTCTACACTCCGCGCACCTGGCTCACGCCTTTGCACGCACGCAAAAACAGATCGTAATGTACCCCATCGTGAACCTGAGGCGGTACCGGAAGGACATCCACTGGTACCTCCGCGCCCTCGAGGAGACGGTCATACGGACCCTCGCCAAGCTGGGTCTGAAAGGGGAGAGGATCGAGGGCTTGACCGGGGTTTGGGTGGAGGGGCGCAAGGTTGCGGTGAGAGAGTGTTTGAAGGGGGTTGTGGTCGTAATTCTAGTGAGTATTTCTTCGACACTAGACCTCAGGCAGGGGGCGGGGGTGGAGAGAGTACTCACTGGCCGGCTATCGTACACGTTTTATCCTTTTTATGTCGCCGATTCCTTTCCAGAAGGCGTGGTCCAGCGGTGTAAGGGGGCTAGAAGCCATGTGCGATACGCACGGCAAGACGGGCTTTCTCATAGAGCTGGCCGGCCTATGTTTTATTCTTGCATCAAGCACGGAGAGTGCTATCAAAGGATTTCTTAGGTTTAGTCAGACGAAGGATGAGCGACATGCCAATAACTTCCTTACCTGTCGGAATTTAAAGGCCGTTTTGATTTCGGACGGGCATACTTTTGCTCGTGGAGTCCTCCTACCTTGCGCAGCTTTGTTTGTGATTTCTTCGCAAGCAGTTGCACCGTAACTGTTCACTCGACGCACGGCAACGCCCCTCCCCTTGTGCAACGCGCAAGCACATTCTATGCGTTTGCCGTCAGAGTAATTTCCGAATGATTCCTGTCTCGTCGCTTTGGGGGGGGGGGAAGGGGGGAGGTTGCTCGGTCCATCAACCAACCCGAACGCCTTGTTACGATAGTCTGCCCAACCGTACCGTCTTGTCGTTCTGCTCACCTGCAGTGTTTTTCTGTTGTACCCCACCTCTCTCTTTGCTTGCCCCCCCCCCCCGTAGGCAGTCGGGGTCCGGGTGAAGCGCTGGATCACGATGCATGGCCTCTCGCTAAACGTACGGCCGAAACTTGAGCACTTCCGGGACATCGTCCCCTGGGGCATCGAAGAAAGAACCGTAAGCTCACGTGAGGGGTTTCCCAACCTCTCGGCCGGGGGGGGGAACCATGTAATAACAGTTATAGGGTTTTCGGGGGGGGGGGGGGGGGGGGAACCCCTTTCCCCAAAAAAAAAAACCAAAAAAAAAACCGGGGGAAAAAAAGAAAAACCAAAGGGGGAAAAAAATTTTCTAACCCCCCCCCCCAAAAATTTTTCCCAAAAAAACCGGGGGGGGTTTGGGGCCCCCCTTGCCCCCGGATTCCCAAAAGATTGGGGTTTTCAAAACCAAAGGCCCCTTAAATGAACAATCTTCCCCCCCCCCCCCCCCAT